TGAGAATTTATTAGATGCCTTGCAAAGGTTGGGTGGTGGTAGTAATACTAGTAAAAGAACATCAAGGAATAAACAAAGAGTGTACAAGAAGAAGAGAGGAAAACCATCGGATACTGAAAGAGGAGAGCCATCGGATACTGCGACAGAAAAAGAAATTGCACCGATGGAGGAGGAAGAGACAGTTGTTGAAACTGGAGAATCTATTAAAGAAAATAAACGAAAAAAGGAGATTGAAAGATTGACGGATTTGTCGGATAGAATGATGGCGTTAGGACATTTTAATGTTTACGAAGATACCTGGGAGGAAATATTGAGAAATTTAAAGAGAGAAAAAGCAGTACCGAATGATTGGATGCCAGCTTCTAATGACGATGATGAATTAATATTGAAGGACAATGACGAGGAAACACTATCGGCAACAAGTTATCCTCAAGATTCATCAATAACTCAACAACTAGCATCAGGATCCGATTCTACCACACAATGGGAATATAAATGGATAGATAATGGAGAACCCGCAGATATTTATGGACCATTTTCCGGTTTAGATATGAAAGCATGGAATGAACAAGGTTACTTTTTGCAAGGAATTTTAGTACGACGAGCTGGGTCAACAGACGAATTCATTAGTAATATTAACGTTGACTTCTCTTCCTAAATCAATAGTATGTAATTAATCAGTTATCATCAACCCTAGTAGACTGTATTTTTTTCTTTTTTAATGAACTTTATTTTATTTTGTCCTATACAATAATTATGATGAAACTTATTTCTGTGATTATCATTGGTTATTATATTAGTTCACCTCACTCCTTGTTATCATCATTTTTTATCATCAATATTGTTTAGACTTTTTTAGCCGACCATACTTCGTTTTCTACCTCTTAAGCGTACTTTAAGAAAGACCAGTATTAATAAAGAGGACAAATCTTTCTCAACATTAAGACGAACCTTTACCTTCTTCTAATTTACTTATCACGGGACCGGAATCCTTGTATTTCTTTGTATAGATTTCAAGTATCGGTGCAAACTAAGAGAGAATAATCATAGCGATAATTTAATTATTGTGGATTAGATTAGTCGGCATTAGGGCTAAAAGGCCATTGCTTACCATAGTCTCCGAGTTTGGATGAGTGCTCGTAAAAGTGCGTTCAAGTACATACAAATCAACCGCTTTGTCTTCTGGCAATATTGACACATAACTCAACCCAAAATCTATCACCACCTAACATTAGAATTAAATTTTATCAGCTTAAATTCTCATTCGAGACACACACACACACATATATATATATATATGAACATTAACGAACCAAAGATCCCGTAAGATCCCGACATAAAAGATTCGAAGTTGTCAAATCCCCATGAATTACATCTGCCGCATGCATATTTGCTAATGCTATTCCAATGTTGTTTGCTATTTCCTCATCTATATAATAAAAACATTAATCACCAGCAGGCGTCAAATGGAAATATAGTATTTTGATAACTATTTAGGATTGATATAAAATATTAATTTACTTTTCAATCTAGATGTCTCCTCATCATCGTCACTTTGCTCCTGCAAAATATCCTTAACAGTCTTCCCTTCCACATACTCCATATATATCGTACTATTCTCCGTGTCAACAAAATACACGACAGGTGTATCCAGGCCGGAACGTCGACATTTATATAAACATCTTGCTTCCTTTGAATTTGTTGAGAACTTAAAAAAATTATTTTACGATAGGAGATGAATTATCTTTCTTTTTTTGATTCAATTTCACCTGAGTAACGCGACGTGCTGTTAATTTTTTATCGAGAATCGGGTGTCGATAGGATTTAGAAAAACGTTCCTTTACTATTGCTTTTCGCGTTAAGAAAGGAGCGATATAGATGCGCTTTTGATTTTTGATTTTTTTGAGTGAATTTTTATTGCACAACGTATCTTGAGAGATAAAAATTAATTTTTAAATATACCGCTTCAGCGCCCTGTTTTATTAAAACTCCATTATCAATCATGTTTGCTTATGACTATCTTCGCGTGTAGAATCTAGTTTTTTTGTGTGATACAAAGTACTGATGTTTATGCTTTTCGAAATACTTATTGTAAATACCTTGTTACTCTCAAAAATACAATATACTAAATCATGGTGGTAAGAGAAGCAACAGTTTTTTGTCATTCTCATGTGGTTTAGAGAAAATAAATGAACACGGGGCCACTTGCACCTTTTATATTCACAACTTATAATTCTCGTTTAGTTAGTACTTGTCATTGGGGACTTGCACATTCCACATCGGATACACGACCTGCCTTTAAAATTCAAAAAACTACTGGTACGTGTACAAAAATCAGCCTGTTCCTAATTTTTTCTACGTTGAACTTGTATAATGAAATTGTTAACGTTTAGGTACCCGGTAAAATACAACAAATTATCTGCACCGGAAACGTATGCGATAAAGAAACTTTTGATTATTTACGAACGGTGGCTGCCGATGTCCATGTTGTAAGAGGTGATTATGATGAAGTATGTCAATATTTTCCCGAGATTCTTTTCCTTTGATCACAATCCTTTCCTTTAAACGATTAATTAATAAGAATGTGTTGTAAATTGAAACATAGTCTCATAACTGGCCTCTATCAAAAATCATAACTCATGGACCACTTCGTATTGGTGTTCTCCATGGGCACCAAGTGATCCCAGTTGGTGATACCGAATCACTATCAATTATCGCGCGACAAATGGACGTGGATATTCTACTGACAGGGCATACACATCGGTTTGTTGCATACGATTACGAGGGAAAATTCTTTGTGAATCCTGGGAGTGCTACTGGTGCCTATTCAGGATTCGGCGCAGAGTAAGAACAAAAAATCTTTTTTTAAATTCATTTAATTTTTATGTTTTATTTACTATTTATATTTTATTCATTGAACAGTGCTATAATACCATCGTTTGTATTGATGGATGTTCAAGGGAATGTTGTGACAACATACGTTTATCAATTAGTCGATGGCGAAGTCAAAGTAGAGAAAATTGAATACCGAAAAGCTTATGACACGAGCGGAAGAGTTTTATAAAATAATTGTCAACGACTTTGCGTTTTTATTTATTTATTATAAATTTTTGTATCCTCTATTATAAATGTGTTGATAGATAGATAGAGTTGTGTATCGGGTAGGTGTGTTTGGTTTTCGCTGTTTTGGGCGGATCTTTATGCAACAGAAATAACTCGATCCCGGTATTCAGTATTAGAAAAAATTAATTTTTTTTATAAGTAAAATATATTGCCAGTTCCTTATCACATGATCAATAACAGAAGTCTAAATCCAATTTGGTGAACTAATCAAAGTATCGGAAATAATTTTACATATATCTTGACTTTAGTTTTAAACAAGTAAAATAATAAAATTATAATTAATAATATATTTAATAATAATATAAAATATTAAAATAAAATTAAAATTAAAGATAGAATTATATATTATTATAATATGAATTTTATTATATATTATAATTTTATTAAATAATTAAATAATTGTTATAAAGTATTTTTTAATATTTTATTTAAAATTAAAAGAATATAATATTAAAGCTAAATTAATTTTTACTAATTTATAATCAATAAAAATTAATTGATTTTAATATAATTAGAATAGTTTCTTTAAAAAATATATTAAAAGTTTTAGTTTAATTAAAAATAAAAAAATTTTATTGAAAAATTTTATATAATAAAAAATATATATTTTAATAATTATAATTAATAAGTATTACTTTATTTTTTTATTAAAAATATTATATAATTTTAAAAATTAATATTAAATTAATGAGTAAATTTAATTAATAATATTTAAAAATTTAATTAAAATTATAAAAAATTTAGTCTAATTAATATTAAAAATTTTAATAAATAAAATAAATTTTTTTAAAAATATTAATATTTTAATTATTAATTAATATTATAAAAAATTTATAATAATATTTTTATACTTTTATTTTAATAATATTATTTATTTATAATTAAAAAAATTAATTATAAAATATTTTATATTAAATAATATAAATAATTTTTTTATTTATTAATTTTATTATTATTTTAATTTAATTTAAAAATAAGTTTATTATTTTTAATTTTTTTTAATATAATTTTAAAACTAATTAATAAAATAATTATTTTTTATTATATATAAAAATTTTTAATTTTATTATTAAATATTTTTATTTTTAGTAAAAAAATAATTAGAATTCTTTATTTTTTTTCTAAATTTTTGTCAGATAATTGATTTTTACTAATTATTAATTAATAAAAAATAAATATTTTATTAATTATAATTAGTAAAAAAATTCAAGTATAATTTTCTTTTTAATTATTATTATATATTATTAAATTATATTAAAAATTAAAACTTAACTTTTAACTTTATAAAAATTATCTGATTTTAACTTTTATATATTTGATAATAAGTAATTATAATTTATTTAAGTTAAATTTTTTTATATAAATTATTTATTATTTTAATTTTACTTACTTTATAAATTAATATTATTTTATTTTAATTAAATTTTTATAAAAAAATTATAGCAGAATTAAATATTTAATAAATTAATAAAAAATAAATACTTAATAATTATAAAAAAATATTATAAATTATAAATATTTTATTATTTTTATTATTATTATTTATTATATAAATATAAAATTGAATAAATAATTTCTTATTTTGTTATTATTTTAAAATAATTTTTAATAAGAAAAATTTAAAATTTTTTTTAAAAATTTTTATTATAAGTTTTAATAATAATTATTTATATAATTAAATAATATTATAATAATAATAAATATAAAAAAATATAAAAAATAATTTTAATATTATATTTATATAATTAACTTCATTATTATGTTATGATATTAATTTAATTAATTAAAACTTTTTATAATTAAAATTTTATAACTAGATATTTTTATAATATTATTATATTAAATATATTAATAATAAAATTTAAAAATTATTTTATTTAATTATTAAAATTTTAAAATTAATAAAATATTTTAATTATTAAATAATCTTTTAAGAATAAATAAATAAAATATATATTATTTAATTATAAAATTAAATTAATAAATAATATAATAATTTATAATTAATTTAAAATAAATATATTTATTATTTCTATATTTTATAATTTTAAACTTTAATATATTTAATAAATAATTTTAATTTATTATAATTTTTTATTATAAAATAGTAATAAATTTTATAATTTCTTTTATTAATAAATATAAGTTTTTATATTATATTAATTAATAATATTAATAAAAATTCTAATTTCTTAATATTATTTATAATCTGACTTATTATTAAATTTTATATAATATAATTTATTAGATATTTTATTTATATAAATAATTAATTAAAATACTATTTTGAATTATATTTATAGTCTTAAATTAATATAAAAAATTTTATTTTATTAATATTAAATATTTTTTATAAAAATATTAATAATTAAAAAATATATATTTTATAAAAAGAAAATATTTATTTAATTTTATATATAAATTTTCAATTAGTATAAATAAATTTTTATTAAATAATTTTTAATATTATATTGAATGTTAATAATAATTTTATAAAAGATTATTTTATTATAATAATTTATAAAATTATATTAAATTATAATTAATTAGAAGATTTTGAAATTTTTAAACAGATTTTAAATTTTAGTTGAGTTTTAGAATTTTAATTAGATTTTGAAATTTTAAATTTATAAAAACTAGTTTTTGCAATTTTAATTTCAGTATATAATAAAATTTTTCAGTTTTAAATAATATTTTTAGTTTAGAAGATATTAATTTAATATATAATTATTATATATTATAAAAATTATTATTAAATAAATATAATAATAAAAATTTTTACTAATTAAAATACAAATTTAATTAGTAAAAAATTTTACAATTAGAGCAACTCTTTTTAATATCTTTGTTTAAAAAACTAGAGAAAATTCCGAATTTTTTGATATCGAGTTTGTAAGAGAATCACATGACTAGACACTTTTTCCGGAATGGTATCACAAGTTCAATTTGGTATTTGGTTTAAATATGACGACCTTGACCACGGCTATACGCGAAGATAAAAGAAACTTTGCACAGTTACGACCTATTTGCATCACACAAGACCTGCTACAGCGCGTTGATGGCTCTTCTGAATTTAGTTTTGGTGAGAAGTCATTAATATAAATACCGATTCATTACATTACTATCCCTTTTATTTACATTTACTATTTCGATATTTAATCACAATTATTATAATACATATGATTCAGTTAGCTAATCTATTTTAAAACTTAATCTTAAAAGAATAAAAATAAATTCAAATTATATTATATTCTTATAAAATCTTTAGCTAAATTATTAAAACTAAATATTTATTAAATATAATTATATAAATTTATATTATATAAAAAATAATCTGAATTAAAAAGAAATATATTCACTAATATTTTAATATATATTTTATAATTTCTTGTTATATATAATTAACTTTCTTAAAAATATAATATTAATAATTTATTTATTTGATTTTCATATTTTTAAGCTAATCTAATCAATATTAATATATTAAATCTGATTTTTATTAATATTATAATATGAATTATCAGATTTAAAAATAATATAACTTGTATTTTTCAAACTGTTAATAGTTTTTTAATATATATAATATAGTAATTAATATAAAAATATTAACTATTAATTCTAATATATATATTATATTAGTTAAATTATTTTTTTATTTTAAATATTTAGAATTTAAAATCATTTTATAAAATAATTTTACTAAATATTTTGAAATTTTACTTAATTTAAATTAAAGATAGTATTATAACTTGATCATAATTAGTGATAAGAGCTATAACTTATTATAATTCTCTGATTAGCTACTATAACTCTGTCATAATTTTTTAATTAGCTATCAAAAGCTGTAATTAGTTGAGAAGTTATCTTTAATTATAATTCTTTGATTAGCTATTATAATTAATTATAATTCTCTAATTAGCTATTGCAAGTCACAATTAATTGAAATGATATTTCTAGTCTAAATTAGTGATAAAAATTATAATTAGTCATAATTCTATTATAATTTTCTGATTAATTACTATAGCTTTATCATAACTCTCTGATTAGTTATTATAAGTTATAACTAGCTAAGAAAACTATTTTTAGTCTAAATAAAAAATTTAAAATTTAATATTAATAAATTAAAATAAAATAAATTTTATAATTATTTTACTAAAAAAAAAATTTATTATTAATAAATAATATATATTTTTAATAATCTTATTTTTAGTTATAAAATATAAATATAATTATTTATTTTTTTTATATTTATAATATGATTATATAAAAAATTAAGAAAATAGTAAAATAAAAATCTAATTTTTCTTTAGATTACTTAAATATTATTTTATATTAATTAGTATTTCTTATATTAAATGATCTATTAAATATTTTTACAAGAAATAAAATCTCAAAATTATTTTTTTAGCTTAATAATACTTTATTAATAAATATTATTACTTAAATAAGACTATAAAAATTATAATTCTAGTAGTAATTAAATATATTAATATTATTTAATTTAATTTTAAAGCTATTTTGTATTAATATTATTTAATCTAATTTTAAAATTATTTTTTATTAATAAAAGTCTTATAATTAGTATAATATTTCTAATATATTAATATTATATATCTTTTTTACTTTTTAATAAAGATAACTTAATAATAATATTTTCATTTTATTAATAATTCATATTTAAAATTCTTTAATAAATAATTAAATTATAAATTATATTATAAATTACTTTTTTAAGATAATATTTTATTTTTTTTTAACTTATAAAATATAATAATATACAAATTATTTTCTAAAAATAATTTAAATATAAATTTAAATAAATTATATATAGTTATAAATTAAAATAGTTCTTAATTATAATATAAAAAATTATTAATATTATTTTATTTATAATTATAATAATAATTAATTAATAAATAATTTGATAATAATAGATTAATT